TTCGTCCAATATTAGAAACTTTGCGAAATCATCAGCGAAATATGATTTTGTATCAGCGCAATGCATCCATTCAACTAAAAGCAACACATATGAAACAACCTACAATGATCTGCTATGCATACAATCGTCATCCTGAGAATTATGGAAATATTTGGATAATGCCAGATTATGTGCATCATTCATTGGACATGGTAAGTTACGTATATCGAAAATTCTTCAAATATCTCATTGAATATTTGTTTTTGATTTATTTGTGTATTTCTAGTGTACATCACATGAACAAAAACCAATTGAATATACACTCAATTATGAATTTCTTAACCAGAAAGTTGATGAATCAATGGATGATTTACAACATCAATGTGATGATATTTATGAAATATGTGCAAAATTATCTTACTATTTAATGAAAACATCTCCGAATATGAAAGAAGATCTATTTCTTAGTAATATCAATAGAATAATCAATGAAGAAAAAATTATATGTGAGACACAAACTATGAATAATTTAAATAGAAAATTGCTCAATAGATTGGAAAAATTCAAGACTCTATACGAAGAACATCTAAATACGATAAAACTAAATAGAAATAATTTGATTTTATCAGAAATTTACAATTTAATCAAATTAATTTATGGAATATCTATGATTAAAACTCAGTTAAATGCCATCAAAAAATATCAACAATATTTGATATTAAATAATCAACATAATGTTCATATAAACAAAACTTGTTCATAGTAGATTAATAATCGATTTCTTCAATAATGAACCATCACAAATGATTTTATTCATTTTTAAACATATTCTATAAATTCGAAATTAAAAAGAACATATTTTGTTTTGCGTGGAATATCTTTATTGTTTAATACGAATAGAATATTGTAAGAATGAAATTTATGATATGCAGGAAATTCAAAGAAAACATGACTTTTATGATGTAGTATGATCAATAATTATCCATTCAATAAAAAAATATATATATCTTTGAAGTAACCTCTATCAATTGAGATAATCTTGATTAAGTTTCAGATACATCAATTAGTCTAGGCTTAGTTCACACATCTATAGTAAAGACATATGATCTAGTATATTGAGTAATTGATTAACCTGAAAGAACATGATCAATAGCTGTTCAAAGAAACGAAACAGACATAATTACAGTAACCTGATCAAAACAAATTTTTTCAAGAGTCTCAAATGTAAAGTAATTCATTATTGTTTTGACAAGCGTTAATTCTCTAATGTCAACTTTGCTAATAAGAAGGCTATTAATAGAGCTGACACTTTATTTACACTCAGCAGGTTCGCGCGATCATAGACATTTTTTTCGAACTTCAAATGTTCGGATATGATCGATCAACATAATATTAAAATGGCACTACAAACTATTAGAAGAATCAATAACAATTATGATGATTAGCTATAAAAACTGAAAGAAATTCAATTTTCAATAAAATAGTTGACGATTCTGAAGAAAAAAACAACTTAATAACGAGATCATAACATAAATTATAAAAAACTAAAAAGTTCAATATTTATATTTTTGAAACGTATATTGATATCAACTTTCTTGTTGTTTTTTTGTTATGCAATTTTGCTCTCTGCTACAATCACATCAAATATTAAAGAGAAACGAAGTGGAATTACTGATACATGACGATATCTTTTTTTTTTTTGTTTTTAATAAAAATATTTTCTTCTTCAAGAAATTTTTTTAAATTCAATTTCTTTCAAGAATTTAAAAAGTGGTTTTAATCGTCTATATACTTATCAAGATATAGCATAAAATGAAAATAACAGTATAAAACAACTATAGGATTAGATTTACTCATCTGTTCTACATATAGAAAAAAGTACACTCAATATGTGACAGTCAAAATAAAAAATCATTAATGTTAAAGAATAGCAAAAGAAAATCAATAATACAAATTAATTTTATCCTATGGAATGAAGAATATATTTCATGATTGACTCATTTTCTCGTATGATGTTTCATGTATAAAAAACTTTCTACAAGTTCAATTTATTTTATTTTAATTTATTATTTTGGGTGTGGGTAAAGGCAATATCTACACTCACATACAGCCCTACAACCCAACGCTCATCTATTCTAAAAGAAATAAATGCGGAAACTTCGGATTTAAATCCGAGAGTTATGTGTACTTCAAAAAGTGAATCATACAAATCAATCATCCTAGACTGTCTGAATATCAAAATTATACTGTGAAATCCACCATTTAAAATGTTGATTTCTATTGCGCGTTGCCAAACCAATAGGACATGGGACCGAATACAGCTCAAGTTTGAACTCTTTCCCTTGATTTACCCTAAGAAAGTCGTTTTTCCTATAACTTCATTTCTATTGGTCACTGCGCAACTAACAGTATTTTGATGGAAGTACAGTACACATTCGAGTTCTCCATATCTGAAAACCTCGAAGTATCATCAGTGTGACCGGAAGATAAAGCTCTATTTGTGGATCAATTAGATCGTGGACCAAAATATAACCTGGTTCTCTTTAATTGTCCTTGTCATTGGTAAGGCAACCTTCTTGTTTCTTTATGTTTTATATATCATTTTGTAGTTCTTGAAATTCTCTATCGAATGGTATATAATAGTTGGGGTTTTAATTGACTATGATAGGAAAAGTCTTTTACGAAAGTCGCGATGGGTCCATTTTTCCACAGAAAGCTATAGGGAAAAATGGATATTTTTGCAATAACTCAGGAATGGCTCGGCCGGTCCTTCTCATCTTCGAACTCGACCGAGATATTGTCAAGACTAAGCTGTGTAGAAAATTTCATCGCAATCTGACTCTGCTGTCAAAAGTTATCATGTAAACAGCCAACCGGACGGACGGACACACTGACTATTCTATAGTGTACTCACTTTTTGAGTACACAAAACTATGATTCAGTCCAAAACTAATATCAGATTCAGAATCAGCGTTAAAAACTGAGTCGATTTATGTATTTTGTGAATAATTATGAGCAAAACTTTTTTTTTCGAAAAATCCCCGTACCCCCCCTCAGGGATGGTCTGGTCAAAAATCACAATTTTTTCGATAACTCAGCCATTTCTTGACGGATCCTTCTCATCTTCGAACTCGATCGAGATATTGTCAAGACTAAGCTGTGTAGAAAATTTCATCGCAATCTGACTCTCCTTTCGAAAGTTATCGTGTTAACGGCCGGCCGGACGGACACACAGACCGATTTTAGTAGTGTACTCACTTTTTGAGTACACTAAAAATTCATCTCCTCACCTATACACTCATATTTTGCTATCATGATAGTGATATGATAAATGAAAAAATGTTCTTGCTTGAGTGTTAGTAAACAACATGACAATAACGAAATGTGATAAAAAGAAATTAATGAAGACCAGTAATCTTACATTTAAATAGTGGCTATTTTCTCCCTCTCTGTGTAGACTTTATTTACCCACCGTTTCGCTACAACGACACATGCAATCAACATTAATGTTCCTGCCTATTTACATGTACATATGGATGAAAAAAAAAACATCAAGCAGATACTCGCCACTTGTAAAAGTACTTCTGTAACAATATTATTTACCATGTTTTTGACTGTTAATAATCTCAAAATATGCAGCACAGACGATGTATTATTCAAAATTTTGTTCTGATTCGTCTCAATTGCAATGCTATCTCAATAAGATCAATAACCAACGGGAGATGGTTGGTCCACAAAATGATCCTAATACTAAATCATTTAGGTAATAACTTCATAGGATTGATGCTTCTCTCTTCAACAGTTTACTACTCTCGACTCGCAAGACAATGTTTTCAGACACTTTATAATATGGTGAATAAGAGAAGCGTTCAACCTTATCACTGTAGGTTTCTCCTAAAAATAACATCATGGGATTCTTGTACTAACAAGTCAACTTGATTGCGAAAGAGTCATTTTTCAGGACAGATAGACCTGTTCGAGAGCTTCAAAATCATAAAAAATGTGTATGAATATGTTGTTTTCGATATTTTTGAAAGACGACACTGATGAAATACTGTAATAAAAACATTAATATAACACGTGTATTTCGGTTATATCAACTAGGGGGATATTGTTGTAGTATTCATATGGCGTTTGGATATAGAAGCAACTTAAGAAAATGGAAAATGACTAGTGGTAGTCGAAAAAGAGTTAGAAAAAAAGCATCCATTTATAAACTGTTGAAATAAAGAAAACGATTTAAGATGATAAACCTCTGTTTGAAGTAAAATATTGGACTTTAAGTAAACTTGAATATAAGTTCAGATATACAGTTGTCGCGAAAATTTTTTGGGGAAAATCAGTCACACTTCACTAAAATCCGATGAATGAATATTTGTATGTTTGAGCAAGAACACATGCTGTTTTTTTTTATTTATCAATCAGAATCTCAAACAGATTCATATCTTCAATAAGAAACAATGATTTATCTTCAAACTTTGGAATCTTTAGCCACTGTTACAACAAAACTAGGAATAGTAATAGTCGTACATCTCGGCTCAGAAGACCGAAAAAACCAAACTCGAGCATATAGTCGATTAAAAAGCGATCTGACAATTGATGACGTTCCTTCGTGAGATCAAATGCACACAATTGTTCTGCGAATACAATTATCATATTATTTCCACAGTATGGTCTTTAGAAAATATCGAGGATAACATTTTTTTTCACACATGTTGTTCTTACCATTCTGTAACTCCTAATGAACTCTTTTACAATTAAGTCTATTTGCTAGCACAAAGATCCCATGATGCTATTTTTAGGAGAGATCTACTGTGACAAGGCAGAGAGAAGTATAAATTCTATGAAAGAAATTATAACCCAAATGATTTTTGTATTAGAGCCGATTTTTTTGACCAACAATTCCTCGTTCTTTTCTTATAGCCTCGAGTACTTTGATAATCATTCTTTTTCTGATACTAGTGAACAAGTAAAGCAGCAGTAGCTGTTAGTTTAAACAAAGAAAACGAGTTTCAATAGAAATGAGTGAACCAAATGCAATTTACGATCTGAGCAATCACTATGGCTTACCATCGGACGTAGCACAGGAAGCGTACGAGTTATTTATGAAACTTGATCGTAATCGTAGTGGTTCAATTACATTAGACGAAATACAAGAATGTCTGAAACTTGCGAAAATACAAATGGTCCATACTAATAGTGATAAGACGCTCCTTAAATTTATGGATTTCAATGAAGATGGTACTGTATCATTGAATGAATATATGAAGTTTATGGCTGCTATTCATCGTAATGAATATCAGGAGTTTAAATTTCTTACTGATGATGTTAAACAGTGATGACGAACATGGTGATGTATAAAACAACATTTTTACTTACGGCAGAACCTTACGTTTTTTCTTATCTACTTATAAGATCTTTCTAGACGTTACTACGTCAGTGAATTGTATCTTTCTTTTTAATTCAAAAAATAACAAGAGTGTAAATCCTTACAAAATGTACTACAATATTCCAAAGAAGAGTCTTCAATGGCGAGGGTGTGAGTGTGGAGATATGAATGAATTAACAACCGAACTGCATACCAACTTTCACACTCTACACCAACACCCTCTCTTAAGTCACATCCATACGCTACATCCTACAAGATAGTAGCATGATTGTAATAACTAAAAACTCATCTGAACTGTGTTTCCAGTCAACTAAGTCTATTGATAAGTCGGTTTTCTCTAACATTTTACTTCGTTCAGAAATCAAAGGCAGAAAAATGCGTTAAACATCTTGAATGAAAACGAAGTCTTAATAGCGTAGATTTTTACGTGTTTTTTTTCCTTGTCTGTCTGACTGGCTCACGAAGACGATATTATAATTTATTGATGTCATTAGAACAAATGCTTAATTTGTGATCGATATATCAAGATTATTTCTGCAATTCAAGGAGAAAAAAACATATAACGCATACCTCTTTTTTTACCATCCTTACTTGTTTTTTTTATGAACAAAGTAAGATCGTTCACAGTGTTTAACAATTGATTCTTAACGATTTAGGTGATATTTTAATGAGAGATTCTCTATCAATAACAAGACGATTGATAGAAATACTCAATGCACAACCAGTCAGAAACGAGAAATGAATGTATTATAAAGATAATTTTTCTTTCCACGCGTTTTAACTATTTTTAAATATTCAAATGTTTGCGTCGTAACAGTTGATATAATTTTGATTTTAACAACGTTGTAATGAGGAAAAACTCAAACGTTTAAACACTTTAAATAAAGATTGTGTGTGAATGAAAAGAAGAGGCACACCCACATCCTCAAATCAACACTTCAAAATTAATCGGATTTTCTTACATCAACTTATATGTATGATCTTTAAATTACAAGAGAATCATGTTGTTAGAATCATTGTTTGATTGACACAAACAGACAAATATCGGAGACTATATAAATAACATTTTACTCTCTCAGATGAGTGTTGGAATCGTATTGTTTACTAAAATAAAATAACAAAAACAAGTCTAAACTTTCAGTATACAATAAACAAATCGAATGTTATGGCCTAATGTACATACTTAAAGTGTCTTTATACAACGTAAAGTATGATTGATGTATTGTGACTCATTGCACTAGCTTCTATGCTTTGCTAGTAGAAAAAGAAAACGATCAATACTGACAGAAGAGTACGTTCTTTGAATACATTACTCAAGTAAACATACAACCTTACCTATTTTACATTTGTAAAGTACGTTATGTTATCGGTATAGTATAAATACAATGCTCTTACTTCATATTATTATCCATAAAACAAATATACATATTTCTCAATTAATAACAAGATGTCTCCTCTTCAAGAAACTAATGGACATATCAATCAAACATTCACCAATGTTCATTATGATGACACCAAGAAATCCAACAACGATTCACAAACTCAATTTGTCATAGAAATACGTGGAGGTGATACATTACAAGTTCAAATGTCAGTTGATGGTGCTCGAGCATTAGCAACATTATCTCCACGTATTACTGTTACTTTTCATAATGTTTCGAAATTTATCAATGTTCCTGCAAAAATGATTGCTCCTTCATCTAAAGAAAGATTTATTCAACGAAAATTACTTGATCAAGTTTCAGGACAAATTCATCCAGGACAATTAGTCGCACTTATGGGACCATCAGGTTGTGGCAAAACGACATTACTAAATACATTAGCTGGTCGAGCATTAAATGGTGTTACTGGTGATATTTGGTTTAACAATCAACGATATGATAAAAGTATGAAAAGAAAACTAGCTTATGTTCTTCAACAAGATTTATTTTTTGAAAAACTAACTGTTAAACAACAATTAACATATACAGCTTTACTTCGATTACCAAATAATTTATCTAAACAAGATAAATTAGCACAAGTTGAACAAATTATTGATCAACTAAGAATTCGAAAATGTGCTGATACTCCAATAATGTTAATATCTGGTGGAGAAAAGAAACGTGTAAATATTGGTACTGAATTATTAACAAATCCAAGTGTTATTTTTCTTGATGGTAAGCCATTTGTATTTTTGAATTTTTTGATTGTAAATGATTTTTTTAATGTTAATGTAGAGCCAACATCTGGCTTGGATAGTACATCAGCTGTAGCATTGATAGATGTTCTTCGTGATCTAGCAATGCAAGGCAAAACAATTATTACATCTATTCATCAACCATCATCTCAAATTTTTCAATCATTCGATCAACTTATTCTTTTAGCAGATGGAAAAACTATTTTTATGGTAAAGTTCATTATACATTTGTTCTATCAAAACACATCCTTCTTCTTCTTTTTTCTAGGGTAAACCATGTGATGCATTACCTTATTTTGCTACAATGGGTCATCATTCACCACCACAATACAATCCAGCTGATTATGTTATGGATCTTGTTAATCAAGATATGAAAATTCGTGAACAACTGAAAGAAGCATATCTACAAAATAAAATAACTGGAAATATTAACACTATATCTAATCAATTACAATCACAATATTCATCAACTGCAAGACAATATTTATTAGCTGAACCATCTGGAAATGAAGCTGATCTAACTAATCCAGATAATGTCAATTTAATACCAAATAAATATGAAAGTAAATGGTCTATTGGATTTTTACCACAAATGTTAATTCTTTTCTCACGTGCATTTCTATTAACTGGTAAAAGTCAATTTACACTTCTTAATTTTGCACAAGCCTTAGGTTTAGCAGTTATTAGTGGTTTATGTTGGTTAAGAATGGATTTTTCGGAAAATACAATACCTGATCGGTCATCATTCATATTTTTTCTTATGACATTTTGGCCATTACAAACAATGATGCATGGTTTATTATCATTTCCATTTGAACGTACAATTATTGAAAAAGAACGTGCAAGTGGATCATATCGTTTATCATCGTATTTTGTTGCTAAATCATTAGCTGAAGCACCACTTAAACTTGTTTTACCAACATTATTTCTTATTATAGCTTATTGGATGGCAAATATCAATTCAAATTTTGGAATTTTTCTTGCTATTCTTGTATTTCAACTACTATCAATTCTTGTAGCTGAATCACTTGGTCTTCTTTTGGGTGCAGCATTCAAAAATTTACAACATGCAATGACAGTTGCAACTGTACTTCTCATTGGTTTGATGTTAGTTGGTGGATTTTTCGTTCGAAATTTACCACATTGGTTAGGTGTATGGGGAAAATGGTTATCATTTTTTAAATATGCTTATGATGCATGTCTTCAATTAGAATTTAAAGGTGGACGAATCTACAAATGTGTCGATGGATCAATCATTCCTTCATGTCGAAACAATCCCAATGGTACATTTGTTAGTCATGAAGCAATAGAATTTTTTGATGTTGGAATCAGTATTGGATTGAACTTTTTAGTTCTTTTTGGAATGTTTGTTGTATTTCGAACACTGGCCTATCTTGCATTACGATTTATTAATAACCATACTGGTCGAACATAATGTTGAAGTGTATATTTTTTTTTTCGTGTATCCGAAAACTTGTATAGTTAATAAAATAAAAAATTTCAAATAAGATATTTCTTTATAAAATTTATGTTTTTAACTCTACTATTATTTATTTATTGTCAATAAAATAATAGACAACCAAGACAAAAGTCAGTTAATGCCTGAAAGGAAAGAAAATTAAAGAACTTAAGCATTGTTCGTACAAATGTTTAACTGATCTTTCAAAATTATAATTAGGGCATGATGCACTCCATAAAAAATTCAATTATCTCTTGTTAAAAATTTTCTTGAATAGTGTATTGATACTAAAAGTAGCTTGATTGTCTTTTTTTGTTATCAACTCTTAACTTTACAAAGCACTCACTGCAGACATCAATAGTTAGAGACTAATTAAAACTTAGTATTTATGTCAGAACGTCATCTAATACGAACATTACATATTCTTTTCCTGTGATTCTTCACAAAGTTTTCAAAAGAATTCCAATCGAAATCCTTTGCAAATAAACTATAATGATTTTGTTTTTTTTTTGTCAAAATCAAATAGATACCTAAAAGATTGAGATAAAGTATGTAAACATCAAGCCATACATCGTTATTAGTTCAACTCAATTATTGCATATGTGCTTAATTAGGTGTAGGTGTGGGTGCGGAGTTGAGTGCTCTGTAATTTATATCCCCATACTCGCATGTTATTCTGTCAGGAAGTTTTTCTATGCTAAAAATCCAAGTCTCATGTTTTCGACGGCTTGCAGACATTCTGATATGGTGTTGAGCTGGAACTGATTGCTGGTTGCTAGAGGATTTTCGAAAGCAAATATTTTATTGTCTCAATTTCTGAATATCTATACAGGCAAAACATGTTTTTCAAATAGCGGCATTAGGTGCAAAAAAAAACTCCCAATGCCATTCCTCCGTATGCACTGTACGTTTGAAACCATAACTCACTGCGTGTTTGTTTAACCATATATAAACTGGTGCGTTACTGCACAGAAGCTTCAATTTTGTTTCATCTGCTGAATTCTCCGTACAATACGTGTTCGAATTAAGAGCGATTCTAATGCCATATTTCGATCTTCCAGGTATTGTGGCTAAATTACAACCCTCTTCACAATTGCAATGACCAATTCGTAACTTGCCTTGATAACATTCGTGCAACTTTTGTTGACGTTTAAGTGCTCGAAAGGCTGATTGAATCTTAATGATGACACCGTCTTTTGCTGCAGTCGAACACATTGTGTCAAATTTTCTCACTTTATGTCCACGACTTCAACGGGTCCGTTGGTACCAGTAACAGAACACACACGGAAACAGAAATAAGCTTCGAACGCATTTC